CGCTGCGGTAAGTTACTGGTCAAGATAGTCTCCTCGCGTTTTCCTCCCGTCTTTGTTTTTCAGAAAACGCGTGGAACATCAGCACTTATTGTTGAGCCAGGAAGTATTCTGCGTTTTCTGACATACATATCGGTATCTCCGCTTCCGCAGTGACGAACGCAGAAAAGAAGGTGAAACCACTTTAGCGCGCGCCATGGTCATGCGAGATAAGGCAGACCACAAATGCAACTAAGTAACAAAGCTTTGTAAGCCGCGATTCACAACAAATATGTCTCATTTATTGACCGTGTGGCAACGACAATGGTTCAGGTCAATGACAAAATGTAAAGCAGCGAGTTCCCATTCATTTCTTTCAACGTCATCTGCCAGTTCTGTCTTTCAACGTCATCGACATGGGGACAACTGCGCAGAATGTATCACGTCAGCAAGGAGCTACACAAAGCACACGCATGAACTGCACCACGGACGTTTGTTAAACAAGCACGCACGCATACCAAGCACCTAGTATCGACGCAGGTGAAAAACCTTTCATGGTAACTACGGACACAGCAAGTTTTTTTGCGGGACCAAAAGAACGACATCATAGGATTGTTGACGTATTCAGACAAAGCTTTTCGAGGAGGTCATAACCCGAAAAAAAAAACGAAAAAAAAAACATGCGTTCCCGCTATCACGCAGGATATACTTTTTAAAGAAGTGACTTTTACGTCCTTCCTTCAACGCGCTGTTATGGCAAAATATTTTATGAATGAAATGAATTACGCATCAGCATGTCCTTATATATTGACGTCTCCAGGGTTGTACGAATATACCTATTGCATGCATATACGAAGGCATTGACGCAATCTGTAGGTGTCACGTGTGCCTTCACGCGTATGAGGAAGGTTGTGACGTGTTCCGGCTCACGGGTGCTCTTGTTTTCGCATGTTTTATCGTTTTTATGTAGGCGACTGCAACTATCTGGAAAAAATTTCTCCTGCTTGCATTTTCTTGTGCATGTAAGTCCATATCAATGAATATTCAATGAGAAGTTTGTTACGTTTTTTATACTTCTCTTATTCTTTGATTTTAGCAGATGAGATATCCATTGTTTATGCAAATATGCGCTAACACTAGAATGATGCGTTCTTCTGGCCCCCTATAGGTTGCCGTTGTCAGCCTATTATCTTCCTATTTCATTGTGTCTTAATGCCTTTGCGTATAAAAAACTGAATAAATAAACAAATATTGGTGTACTTTGGCACAAAAGAATACCATGTTCAAGGTATCAATTTTCAATGTGTATACATAGCTTATGAAATGACAAAAATCGTAGGGTGCGAAGAGCAGCTGCAAACTGAATATTAAATGGAGCCACGAAAGACTAGGTACGAACAGGAAAGCATGTGTTTGATTAGCATTTCGGTGCTACTGTTAACATCAAATGTTGCACATGGCACTCTATACATACGCGAATTTTCCATTCAAATATTCTCAATTTCACTAACACAAACACATAAAAATGTACGCATTTGTGCGAGATTGTACAAAAGTGTTATGTTTTCGGGGCGTTGTGATTCAGCTGCTCGTAAATAAACCTGCGTAAATTAGAGAACCCTAGTGCCTGAACAGCACTGAGAGAACGGGGTAAGAAAATTATTCCAACTTTGTGTGTGCTTTTGTGAATGAATTCCACGCCATCGAAGCACAGAAAAACAAAATCACTTTTGCCTAGATTCGCTAGAACATTTCTGAAAGCTTGAAGGAACAGCTTTTACAAATGTCGTTTTTTGGTTCGTTTACATAAATGCCACACTTACACCTCATTTCGCAGATCAACATGAGAAAAAGAAATGAAATCCTCGCATCATTTGTGCAGTTTTAGTGGTGTCGTTGTCGCAAAGACCAAATCAAGGTTTGGAGATGGTATGAAGTGCTGCTGTGCGCAAAAATGTTTCGATAATAAGCACTCCTTCTTTTAATATGCTGAAAAACTGGTCCACATGCAGTATTGTAATGTTTTTTGAAAAAAAAAACACACTGAGTTGTGTGCATATTTAAGCTGAAAAATAAAACACCAACGCTAAAGAAAAATGTCATAGCTGGACTGTTTTTGTGGATTTCTGTACAACATTAGATTTTTTGAATACTGGAGTCCAAAGGCAAAACCAAAAAAATGGGCTTTTGAAAAAGGACTCTAATAAAAGAGGGCATAAAAATTGGAAGGCGCAGCTTTCACAAGAAGTGGGGCTTGTGTTGTCTAGTGCACGTCCTACAGTTAGGGCAAAGGAGGAGACACTCATAGTGTTATGTGGATTGCAAGACGTATCTGCAAATAGACTTTATGATCTGACAGGCGCTATAAACTTATGCAGTAAAAATTCTAGATCCCTTCACCATGGTCTCTGTAATAATCATATCGTGCTTTTTGGTCGGCAAACCTAAACTATAATTGTAGTGGCACACTAGCCCTGACTGTATTCGAAAATTGTGATAACTGGCAGGTCATGTTATTTGTATTTCTTCTCAGTCAACACATTGATTCTTACCACTCCCCTCTCCTTTAATTGAAGCTAGTTTCATCTGACATGGTTTCACACAACCTCCATGATCGGAACCGTTACAGGCTTCTTGCACATCGCCAGATATCGCACTGCCTCCGGGATCAGCTCGCCGGTGACCACTCATTGATTCTGTTCGATGACGCCATCGCGCGGCGTCACATTGCGTGATGCCATGCGACGTCACGATAGAGTCAGAAGGACGTCAAAGTTCTTGCGGAACTCTGACGACATCATGAAGTCATCAAGTACTGCTTTATTAGATGCGAATCAGCTATTTGACTAGCCTGTGTAACGCAGTCCCTCCATACGCACCACTCTCCTCGCCACAGGTGTTGGAGCAGGGCTAAGTAGCTCCCACCCTCCTAGCAGTGCACGGTGACGTCAATATCCCTCACCTCTCACGCACTCGCTGCGTTTCAGCTCTCTTGTTTTACCATTTCCGCCGTTTGCAGAGCTCGAGCCCACTACTCACGTGGGCATCAACTCACCCACGTAACCTCTCTCCACCTGTCGACGAGAAGAAACCACGAGCCGGCAAGTGCGTAAGCTGCGCGCGCCTCGAGAATCTCGCGGCGCCGACGATGTGCTCAGCGCGACGCTGCTTGCCGCGCGATTCCGCCGACTGGCGAGACGCCATTGTGGCATGCTTCCCGTTACTTTGCACGAAACCTTCCCGGCGGTCGCCGGCGTTGCTAGGGCTAGCAAAGCCGATTGCTTTCGCGTATGGTGAAGTCAACACCGACAAGGTGCGAGCCAGAGAAGCCGAACGCAAGCGAGACCAGCGTCAGCGACGAGGTGGGAGTCAAGAACACCGATCACGTTTGGGAATACAGACAGCGTGTGGGTAACACCGACGAGACGCGAGCCAAGGAAGCCGAGCGCAAGCGTCTTTAACGCGTCCAGCCTTCCGTGTCTTTGCGTTTCAAACAAACGTTCACTGGAGTAAATACTGCACCGAATTTAGCTTCAAACCATTATTCCATCACCCGCGTCAATGCCCATTTCAACCAGGTCAACGTTGTGCGCACCGCTGCAGCTTCGATTTCTTTCAGGGTTCTCTTGGGCGTGATGGTTCATAGTTTTCTGTCGCATTTTTCATGTTGACGCCGTTGCCGACGTCACTTATCTTGTTTGACAAGGCGTGTAATACTTTTTCCTAGACTTACAATTCTTCATTTGTATTAGAACCGATTATTTCACAGGGGTTTGCGAAATTGTTTATACTAATGTTCGCGTAAACTGATTTGCACTAATTTTATTTCTTTCGGCATTTTTTATTATGTGCTTTTGAAGGATACCCTAATGTGCATTGCACCAGTTTCTTCTCGTTTTTAACGCTGTGTATGATGCCAGAAATAAATTGAGGCCGACTTCTCTGGCTTTTCTACCACAATAACCGTTTCTGTGTCTCTCTAACATTCGAGCTAAGCTTTAGCTTAATCTATTTTAATATTGCTATGTTTATTTTTTGTGAAGGTTTTCGGGTAAATTTTATCAGCGTTTGACAAACCACTCTAGAAATGCCGCAAAAAGTGCTTCTTGGTACTCAAGTCATAGAAATATAGTGTGTTCTATGCAAAAAGTCCTAACTGAAAACTTTAGAAATACCCGTTTTCAGTATTTATTGAATTTTGCTGCCGCGAACACTTCTTGCAAGTGGGCTGAATAAATTAGTTTAGTTGAGAAATTCTGTGGGTAATCACAACTCTAAATTTAGAAAACAATAACCTGAATATCATGTACTCTCACCGTTACTATTACGGGAAGACGGAAACAAGGCACTCGTTTTTCGTATTGTACACAACTAATTAAATCGAAGATAAATAAGCCGAAAAACCACTTAAGACATGATTTGGGGCTTCTTAAGTGTAACATAATAACTCTCGATCTTTTACAGTTCCTTTCAACTCAGCTTACGACCATTAACATTGAGCTACAAAAACACAGAATATGGACTCCTATTTTGAAATACCTAATTATTTGTTGGCTTGATTACAAGTGCAAACTACTTGATTAAGTGTCGGTGCATATTGTGGATTCAGGTAACATATTTGTTACCCGAATTATCTGCAGGCACCTTACAAACAATTGGGCTTGTCATAAAGAAAGTAGCTTTATTAACTGTTGAGCAGCCAACAAACCAAGGTGAAAGTGTCCACTAAAACAAGATAACAAACATCGTGGCTTAGGATAAAGTAAAAGCGTTCCAACCTGCTGCGATCACCAGTGCCAGCTGAGTCTTTCTTTCTAACATGAACTTTCACACATTTTAGAGGCACGTGTGGCCACGAGCTTTATTCTTAGAAGAGGTGGATAATACGAGAGAGAGAAATCAGCGAGAAAAGTTTTCGGCTGCGTAAAAAAGGACGCACACTGGCTTGGCGCGAGCTTCTAGAGTCTTAAAGCCATTGTTCAGAGCATGGTCCACAGATTTCACGTCAAGCATTCTGCGAGCACACCGCTGTTTAGCTTGCATACGGGCAGGAAAAACCTGCGTCCTTAGGCGGACGAACAATGGGCGATGCTAATCTAGAGAGCAGCGCGAACATGCGCCTGCTATTGCGCCTTCTTTTGTAGCATCTGTTCACAGAACAACAGCCTGTAGATGTCTTGATTGGGGGACGATAGTGAGATGAATTGGAGAGTGATAGCCTTCGCTGTCATCTGCATGGTTGTCATCGTTGAAGCCCGGAGAAGAAGTAAGCACAATTTGATGAATCACTTCACGTCCATTGTTGGAGAGGTGCATATTGTATTGCTGTGGGTTTAAGGTACTGCCACTTACCCGACGTCTGTCACACTTTCAGCGATTTGAAAACTTCATTGTAGTAATAGAACACGCGAGTTATTTAAGAAAATGTTTTGATGTCTTTTAAAAATGAGTGAGGCTTGTAACACGGCGCACAAGGCTGGGTAACCACAGAGCCGGCGGAACCTAGCTGCCCATGGCTTGGCTAGGGTTTTACCCTTTCAGCTGTCGCCTTGACAACCAAACTATATAGCCTACATGACTATGCTCACTTAATCTCTTTTAGTGTGTATATATTTATCTCTTTCCATGTTACTACTTTCACAGTCATTCTTTTCTTTTCTATCTTTCTTCTACTTACTTGCTTTGTTTCATCTCTTTTGCTCGCACACATTGAAGTAATTTTCTTGCCTTCTATCTTTCTCACTACTAAGCTACCACAGCTCTGCTGCAGAAGTTGTATGTGTATAGTGCCTATGTGCCAAAAAAAAGTGGGCAAAATTTTCCGTCACAAACTGGTCCACAGTAGATGAAGAGAACACACTGACTGGCGGCCAAAACCGATTAGGGAACAAAGGTTCCAGCTTTTTTTTTTTTTGTTGACAGTCAGAACTCGGTGCTTTGGCAGTAATCGAGTGCGTTCCCGTTTATGAAGACGATAATTTAATGTCTACGACTCACATCAAGCCCTGTCCATAGGACTAGTGATGCAACAAAACTAGCTCAGGAGGCAACAAACACTGCTGTTCAAGATGCGCAGGACCTGCGCCGAAATGTCTGTCCTGTTGCTTTTATATAACAACACTTCTTGGCCTTCACGAGTGCCTTCAATAACAACCTGGAAATAGCATATTGGTACATCTGACTGCATTTATACACCATTACAACTAGATTATTATTCGAATACTTTCAAACAAAGGAGATAGCATTAGTAAACGTTGTTTGAGCCATTTTTTGTGTGCTTGATTTGAGCCTGTATATGTTCGCTGCTTGATCAATTATCACTGCTAACCAACTAGTCCATAATTATTTTAATAAGTACATATTTATTTTTGGTGCTATGTTCATTACGTAGAAATATTGTGACTCCATACTTTTCATTAGGTCAATGTTTTTTGAAACGCTACACAAAGTTGACTGAGTGCCACAGTTCCCATATCTAGTACATAGACACAAAACAATATGAGCTTGAGTACCACATCAGTCATAAGAGAAGCAAAGAAGATTCACCTGACTATGAAGAAGGCCCATGTGGGCGACAAAATCAAACATCGATATCTGCCATGTATTCTGGATGATGATTAAACGCTTTTATATGACAATCGCAAGATAAGCTTTATGCGCAATGTTTTCTTGTTGTGAATCAATGTTTTTTGAAGGACAGAACAGTCATACTTTAAATAAGCTGATGTTCAGTAATTTACAGTGCACTTTCCTTTAAAGTAGACTTATTTACTTGACTGGTGTTGCCATGACCTTTCGTCTGGTGGTTTCTCTCGACATCGAGCTAAGTGTTCGAGTGCCCTGGAGGTCCTACGGCGAAATGAGTCAAGAGGGAACAACCCTAGCATTTGTGCTGATTACGTTCACTGTACTCTCCTCGCTTGAAATTTCCTACAGTAATTTCTGAGAAGGAAAACTTTATCTTCTCTGGTATAGGTGCTGCAGGGGTCATGCTCCCTTTATTGCACGTCTTGCAGTCTGAAATTTTGTTAGACTATTTCATTTGCCTCATAGGGGTGACTACTGCAATAGTTTTACACGTCTTACAGTTTTTTTCGACAGTGTTTACATATGTTTTTAATCCTGCTATAGGACATTAGTGTTGATTGTACCGTTATATATTGAAGTGTACTTTCAGTTATACTGTCTACTTTTTGAATATTGGGTTGATGTTCTTTAAAATATACGCAGAAAAGTATATCTTCCACTACATCTAAGCAAACGTGTGGGTGGAGAAACTCTGGTTAGGTATATGTAATCTGCCTTTAGTCCCTTCAACCTAGGCCATATTCTGTCTGAATTATCTTTACTAAATCGCATTGCACTTGTTTTGGGTGTTATGCGAGTAAGAAATGTTAGGGCTGAGTGAGCACTGTACATTTTTGTGAAGCTGTAGCGAGATCGCGCTCTCTCAAGGCGCATTTCCTCATGCTTATAAGCCTTGCTCAGGCTCTGAAAATGTCAAGGACTTCCCATGCCCACTTTGCATGCGTAGTCTTTATAAATGTTCAATGGGAATTAAGTGTAGGTATACTCTGCTAGAAACGCAGCATCGTTGTCAGCTTTCTGGTTTAGCTCCCAAACATAAAGATCTCACGGTGGTACCCCAAACAGTAACCAGGACTTTGTATAGCTGATAGATTTATTCTTGACCACTCACACAGAGACCGATTATTTAGCAAAGCGGAAGCCCTCTTTGTAGTATAATAGCATATTAAACATCACCACACTACATTTTACCTTCATGCCTAGTAAAAGTTATGTATATATTTATAGTTTCATGTTTTCTGTTTCCCCTTGCTTGACATATTTAGAAGGGACTGATCAGAAGTGACAAGCTCACTTGTTCATTGTGTATCGTTCGCATGCCGGCAAAAGTGTTACCGATATGTCTTACTGCGTCGAATAAAAAAAAGAAATATAAATGAAACAAATTGTCCTTCCCCTTGTCTTTTTCCCGTCCATGTTTTCTATCGCGTAGTACACTTGATAATATATCACCAACTGGCCCAATCGTCCACTTTCATTAAGTAAAACTAAATATAAATGATGTTATTGTTTGTCCCACTAACAGGCACAGGTCCGGTAAAATGCAGCAACACTGAAGTAGCCGTCCGAGGATGGCGCCGGCGAGATCGCTTCTGCAGGCCTATGCTTACCCGACCATCACTTCGGTGGAGGCGCCGGAAGTGCATCTGCAAGATGGGCTACGTGCGAAACGCCTGGAATCAGTGCGTTCCCCGTAGCGAGTGCAACAGATGCAAGCTATATAGGCGCATGGACTACAACCTTTGCGAAACCGCATGTCCGCTGACGTGCGGTTATCCAATCCCGACGTTCTGTCCAATGCAGTGCGTGAAGGGGTGTGCCTGCCCTCCTGGATACGTAATGTGAGTGAGGCCTTCTTTCCTGCTACTGTGTATCTTTTGAACGAAGGTACACTGCGCGCTGCCATAATCCTGTATTGACTGTTGTGAATACGTGCGACTTTCAAACATTGCCCTGCAGAGGTGGAACTCCCACGCAGAAGTCATGTAAGAAAGTTTCACATAGCTTTCGGGAATATTTGCTATAGACATTTTCACAGAAGGCTTTCTTGTCGCAGCCATAATCCCCCTGAGTTAGGATATATCGGCATGACCTCAAAAATTGCCCTACCAAAGCACCAACGTCTGGGTTTGTGTTTTCATGTCCACGTCTAGCATGAAGGTCTTTTTCTTTCCAGAGAAAAGATTTATAAAAGGCTGGAGATTTAGAACATAGCGGCATTTTCTCCTCATAAGCGGGTCAACATAAGCCCAAATAAACGAGTCCATGGTCAAGACTGACTTCACAGGCCGGCAGATACTGACCACGCCTTAGAAAGCATCACCGATTCGCGAGGAATATCTCTTTGGTGTCTGGGTTTATCGCATGACATACTGTCACCGTATGAGCGTGACTTCTCCGGCCTTTTTGAGCTGTTAGAGATTGTACTTTTATAATTCTATCATCACTATAGTTTTAATTTATTCATCTTAGCGGTTTATATGTTCTCATCAAAGTGAGCCGCTGGTGCTGCAATAAAACTTCGACTTCAAAAGCAGCGCAGCAGTACTTAATCAGCATGGTCGGAAAATGCAAATGATTGGTAATAATAAAGGCCCCTGTGGACATGCTATAGCCCAATATTATTATGCAGCACGCAGCCTACAAGTTTTAATTTATTTGCGCTCAGCTAGCAATCGTTTCCTTCTCTTTCTAAAAATGATGCCATATACCCAAATGACCACGCTATATGCCAAACTCAAGATCATTGGTTGATTTGAGTACTCCTAGCTGCATAATTACTGTGGCCACCACGAGAGGCTGCCTAATGGCCACACTAGCACCCGCGATCACAGTGAATGTAAACCACGCGTTCAAAAACAAAAAGACAAAGTGCTCAAGCTCATGACACGTGCGTGACGTACCCTCTTTTTTTCGGGTCAATCCTAGCTGTTTTATTTCTATCGCGCATGTTGGGACGAGGAAAAAAGGAAGCGGGTGGACTACTAATCTGTCTACTCTAATATCACATGACCTACTTTAAAACGCGTTATGGTGGTCAGTTTATAAGCCAGCGAACTACAACAATGAAGTCATTCAATGGTTATCTTAGAAAGTGCTTTAGGAGTCTTTTAATCCCTTTCTTGCCTACCTTTAAAACAGTATTGTTTTTAGCATAGAACACTAATATTTAAACTTTTATTTCAGTGGGACTTGGATGCTTTAAAGAGCAATGACGAACTATCGTACCTTTACAAATTGTTGATAACAGGAGTACGTTCCTGCAGTAAACAACCCATTTATATGAAATTGGGAACAATACGTTAAAGCGTTTCTAATGTTTTTACAACCTCCATTTCAGGTGCGGTAGGTTGCATTTTGATGGAGGAAGAATGCCAGGGGCTGGTGTTGTGTGCCATGTCATATTTCAGTGCGCGCTAAGTACATCCGATGGTCAAGCCGCGTGCACAATGGCGTGCCTTTTGTCATGCCATAGTTTTGACACGTAAAACCCAAGATAATATTGTTCTTGTTACTTTTAACAAGATGTTTGGCACAGTGTTCAAGTTAAAAGGTTTTGTTCGCTTATCTTTACGGAAGAGAAGCACTAGGACATGTGTACGTGTATGATGTTGCCGATAGTAAGCCTTGAAAACGCTAATACTTGTAGGCAGGGCCAAATATTGTAAGCAAGAGCACACAAACAAGTGTGTCCTTATGTAACAACGTATTTGCTGCAGAAAACACCTTGTTAAGGGGTAATTCTTTAGTACCAAAGCAACTGTGATATAAAAGACACACCTCGCAAAGTCTATCCTTGTGGTCTGAAGAATTAGGCCTTCATAGAGTGGCTAAATTAATAGGAATGAGTGCAAAACTTAAAATACCTCTAGAACAAATTCTTGAGACCATTTTGCTCTTGCCATGTTGGACACTAAACTTGCGCTTAGAATTGTATTATATTATCTTTACGAATGTTGGATCAAGATACGACCACGCCTTTTTAAACGTCGTGACGTATTTCTCTGTACCAATTATTGACATAACAAAAAAATGAAATGCCAATTCAAGGCATAACCGCATGCACGCGATTTTTGAGGGAGACTGACAAGGGACAGTCACAAGGGACTGAATTTGCTGTCGCAGAGGCCAATCCATAGCTATCGCTTGTAGCGTCGTGCGTTTCTAGCAAAAAAAAAAAAAAACTCGCCTGTAGCCCTGAAGCTAGGTTGATGATTTCCGGCAACTTGACCGCAGCGTTGACTCTCGCTTTGGGTACAATTTGCTCTTGATGCCTGTTGTTCGGACGTACTTCAAGGATTGCTAGGTATCGACCACCTTGTTTACAATCGAATTTCACATGGAGAGTGAGATACCAGTCTTGTTTTGACGTAAATCTTGTTATCGATGGTTTGTTTGAAAGTTTCGGTGGTAGCTTGGGACAATTACGGTAGCTTGCTGCAGTGTGAAATCATCACGCGAAGTGCGGCGTAGCAGTCGCAGCGTATGCTTATGGGCAACCTGTGGCGGTTAAACCAAAGGTGGCGAAAAAAAAAAGATTGTGAAAATTCTGGATAGCTTCCTTCTGCAACACATGAAAGTAATGATTTTGGCGTGTTACCATCAACCTCGTTTTAAGCTTTTTTCGCAACTAATGGGCATACACGCGATAGTTTTAGTCTAGCAACAATGACACTGTCCCTGACATATGGCTGCAATCATCACGACGAGACTGTGTGACGGAATAACTATGTCGCTGTCGCTCATCGTGGTCGCTAGGAAATTTCGTGCACGTGGATGGACCTTCATTGTGGTAATCGAGCATATATTTTGCATCGCTTCACCATAAGGACAAAGTAATAAACGTTATACAAATAACTTGTAATACCATGCGAAGAATAGCAAACAGCTCGAAATTCGCAGCACGCTGATCAAGCACAAAAGACGCACCAAAACAACACACAAAGGACGAACGCGAATTAACTCTCACAGCACAACCCTTAAACAAGCTGCTCAAGCGCGAAGAAGGGCGCTTCTGAACATGGCTGAATGTTGCTCTAACCAAAGAAGTGATATTAAATGGGAACAGCATATGTAGAACTCACACTATTCCAACACGCGTACAGTCGCACGGCTTTCTATTAATGTAACATTGTTATCATTGTTATGACATTGAAATCACCTTAAACGCCTTCCTAACCACCTTTTATTACCATCATGAGTGCCCTTAACATATCTTTGTACATTAACATGAAAGTGTGTACATACACCTAAGCCTGTTTTTCTGTTGCAGCGATCCGAGGAGTGGGACGAAGTCGTGCATATCAGCCAGGTGGTGCCCTCCCAGGTGCCCACCGAACTCTCGTTTCCGCCTTTGCGTATCGACCTGCGAACCAAGATGCGACACGCCGAGACCGAGGAAGTGTTTCAAACGTTGCTACGGGGGCGACTGCGTCTGCAAGTGGCGCTACGCTAAACTGTTCCAGCATGGCCAGATGCACTGCGTGCGCAGAAGAGATTGCCCCAGTCGCTACAAGCAGCTGTACGGGAACTATTACTGGAGCCTCCTTGGAAACGGCACATTCTAGAGTTAGTTCCTAGGTATCAGGATCGCCGATGAAAAGCTCCAAGGAAACCGAATGCAGAATCAAGCTGAGAAGCCCGAGGGAGAATAGAATCAATTAGCTCACAAAACAGCCCACGCATTCTATGTGCGGTAGGCTTAAGCAGTTTAAATTAGCATACAAAACAGAACAAAAAATGCACCCTCTGGTTGTCGTCACTTTTGAGCCCTTCCTTGTCAACACACATTTTCGATTGTATTTGGGGAGTGTTCCTAAGGTCCAGGTACTTTTGTGTTATTATAAGCGTTTTAAAACTTCTATGTTGTAAGCATGGAAACTATAGCCCAGTGGTAATCCTGCCAAAACGTCTTTATCTCCGAAACATTAAAGATTCACAAAAAAACGGATATGCGACACTGCATGCTGGGCACTGAAAGCGCACACTTTGGATTGGTGTCCCTTATACTTGGTTTATGATTTCTCGTTGCTGTGAAGATCACGAGATGAGAACAACAAAATGAATACAAGGCAAGTCGCGTGCAATACTCCGTGTAGCCTCTGCCTCGTCCTCGTCTGGTCGTCATTAGGGCAACAGAAAACCATGAATCACCACAACTAGCCCAATACACTACTCTGCTAAACTTGCTTCGACCTTGGTAGTGTGCTATAGACAGCGAATGGCCGAAAGCTCGCTTGTACTTTTTCAAATAAAGATGGAGTAGATACGGCATGCAATATCGCACATTACTGGTGATTAATAGCGCAGTGTATATTGGGGCTAGCCTTTGACACTTTAATACACCAAGTGTCCAGCACGGCCCTGTTTCTTCTTTAGAGGAACTTCAAGTCGTCTCCAGTGAGACACACGAAGTTCAAAGCGGGGAAAAGTTTCAACATGCGCCCTCTACAGCACTACAACTCTTCCTGGTAGCTATAACTTGCGAAATAAATACTTGACTTTTACGTTGTACATTTTCTGGCCTTTCCCCACAATATTCGAAATAAAATGCCACGCGGATTGCTGAGAAATAAATGTGTAAATAAAGTGTGCACAATAGTTCTATAAAAGGTGCCATGATTGAACTCAGTTAAACTAGTTTGTCGATTGATAACTTGCTTTGCTTCCTCTAGAAAACTGGAACTGTTCTTCGCAATGATTTGTGCTCAATGCACACATTGGCTTAGGCAAGGAGACACAAGTGAGTGGATAGGTGGGGTCATAATTACCTCCTTTCCATTAACTCTTTCTATTTTCTCCTAGAAGCATTTGTCTCCCAGCCCCTTCTTTCTATTGCACTGTTGAGGTAACCTCTACTAAGAGGAGACACTTCACATTTTCTTTACTTCTTGCTCATTCAAAGTTAGTCCGTTGAAAGTGCTGCCCGCAGGCTCGGCGGCACGTCTGCAAAGAGATGGACATCTGTGACGGTGCTCCCAATGGCACGCGTGCTTGGGTGCGACGTAGGGAACGAGTTACTGGTGGAGAAGCCATTGGAGATGTTTAGTGTTACCCATGGCGAACTGGTGTTCCTTTGAGTTAGCTGTATACAGCTTTCGCTTAAAAAAGTGGGGGTGTGGACATTTCGCTAAACTATGGTTCACAGAGACCTGTTACCACCTCCAAAACGACTTGTCGAGACGTCGGGATGTCGATTCCAGCACACTTTCTCTTCCTGCCTGTTTTTTTTTTGATTGCACGGAAAAAAATTTCACTGCCGCCATCATTACGTTTAGGCATGCGATTGAGACTCGTGCTATGTGCGTTTTTGACAAGATTTTTGCACTACATCACACATATCAAACGAAGGTTAAAGAAGGCTGTCTGGAAAAACACAGAAATTGTTTGAGTGCGCTTGTCGTTGTTCCTATTTTTCCCCGCCTTTATTGTGCGGGTGACGTTCAGAGAAGTATATCTCACGATGTTTATTTTGGCCTGCAGTAAACATATTTTGATATTTGGGCTCCAGCATACAGTGTATTCGCCCAAACCTGTTCTCGTGGGCCTGTCAAAGTGGTGCCTCGTTCCACAGACGTTTGTCATTCACTTCTACAAAGCAGTCATTGTAACCAAGTTTATTGTTGTCGAAACACTACAAACTTGTTTGCTTACCTTCTCTTGGAAGACACGCGTATGAAAATAGACTGGTATGTTAACGCACTTGCAGTATCAATACAGCCGGTGGCAAGAATGCGAATTGCAGGAACAGATAAATACAATGCCACTTATGAATGGTCCGGCCACACACGCTGTTGTGCGTCATCTTCTCCCAACATCCTCGAAGCAGGCATGTTGGAAACACCTAGGCGATGGTTTGCACCGTACAACTATTTATATAATCATCGCTTGTCTTAAGGCGCCCTGCCACTTTTTTTGAGCATGGTAAGAAAACGCTACCGATCGGTCGCAGAGGCTTTCGATAACACGCGAGCCTAATATTAGAGCGCAGCATGTAGCTTGAAATTCACAATAAATTTTCCAAGTCAGCCTAAATTTCCTTTCTCCCGACAAATCACAGAAGACGCTCAAAACTCCTCGTAAAAAGCCCATCTGTCAGCCATTGGTTGATTTGAACATGACGAGCTCGGTCGTTGCAGAGATCGCCACGGGAGGCCACGACATGTCCAGGCGTTCACGCGATCACAGTGAAGAAGCAGTACATTCAAAGGAAAAAGAGAAAAAAAAGTGCTCAAAGTGACGAAGCGCGCGTGACGTTTTTCTTTGCCCCTGCCATCCCACCCTGCTGTTCTTTCAGCGCTTTCGTTAGGACGAGAGCGGAAAGAATGCAATTGCAGCGTGCGGCTAATCTTAGTAACTGTATTCGCACTGGACGGATTTCTGAATATTTTCTGAGGCGTTTAATTCGTGACACAATAAGCTCTTCTATGAATCCGTTTGATAGTTACTTAAAAAGTGTTTCAGAGCCCCTTTAATGTGATGGTCTCTCTTGATTGCGCAATGTATGAAGAATTCAAACATGCTTTCCTCGCTACCAAACATTTACTCTGCCCCGCCGCGGTGGTCTAGTGGCTAAGGTACTCGGCTGCTGACCCGCAGGGCGCGGGTTCGAATCCCGGCTGCGGCGGCTGCATTTCCGATGGAGGCGGAAATGTTGTAGGCCCGTGTGCTCAGATTTGGGTGCACGTTAAAGAACCCCAGGTGGTCTAAATTTCCGGAGCCCTCCACTACGGCGTCTCTCATAATCATATAGTGGTTTTGGGACGTTAAACCCCACATATCAATCAAACATTTACTCTACTTTCTTATTCTTTACGTACTTACAGTTATATGCATTTCGACATGTCAGTTGATACTTTAATACTTGAGCAGGTACCGGTTACTGAATTTTAGTAGTTATTAGAGTTAGTTTTTCAGCGAAATATATACTTACACATAGTAGTTAAACTGTTGAAATGAGCAGTAAAAAGCAGCTATATGATGCAAAGTGCTTTTATTCGCGATTTCTGAAGATATACTAGTACCTTGGAATTCCTTAAAACCATCTTATAAAACCTAAATTAAACAAGTGGTGTACAAAAAAGCTATCACAAGAGAAAAGAACACGGACATGGCTTCAGCTAAAGTTAATTTTTTTAATTATCAAACGTATTTTTACACGTAAGAACGTGACTGCAGAAAGCGGACAAACAGACGAGCCTGCTTGTTTCACCTCGATTTCTGAGTGGGGTCACGGGACAGCATACCAAAGGTTTCTTTTTCTTCTACCTATGCTCTGCATGTTAACCCTCGCTGTTTGCTTCGGAATTTCGAGCTTTTCACGACATTTTTTACAGTTGAAAATGAAGCTCATCGGGTGAGTCAGTCAGTGTTTCGTGGATTACGAAGCTTTATGCAAGCGACATGCGCCACCTTTGTTCAGGCCAAGCGGCTTTCAGAGATTGTGAGCTGCGCTATGCGATTACTGGCCTCACTGAGGCGTTAGAGGATAAAATGGTGCCCGGTATACTGAGGGCAAATTTTAGAACACAGGCCACGCTTCCGTAAAGCGTCCGGAGCCACACATAATCTCCACAATTGCAGCAAACATACGAATGATGGTAGTCGGGGCGCATTTTGCCTGCCCGTGAGGGGATGGTACGTTGCCAATCGAGGCCTCATGCTGATTTTCGATGTACGAAGTTTGCCTAGTGCATCTTAGATCGCACGTCCTGAAAATGCCTACATATTTATCATCATCAAATTTAAGCTCATATTTTCAAGCGTATTTTTAAATATATAAATAAATATCATTCGGTGGATAGGTGCAAGAGCCAAATAAGCGTTTCCTTGAAAACATGTCCGAACATTTAACGACGTTTCTTATTTATCACTCCATGATCATGTAACGTAATGAGAAATAACAGACAACTGCGGAGAAAAGTATTATGAATGTTATTAGTAGTAAATTAAATGCAAATTTGAAAGGAGAAAAAGCCACAATTTCTGTCCCTACCCCCCGCAAGTTATCCTTTCATTTACATTTCTTTTTCACATTTACATGACATTTGTTACTCATGCCATCCCCTGTACCTTTCTTGGCCATTTTGCCTGTTAGTTCTAATTACTAGTGTGTCGTAAAAACTGCTTATTATTATTTTCAATTTCCTTCATTATCCTGTAATGTTTAAATAAGGCTTTAATAAAGCAATGTTACCACGCAAGGTCAGAGACTGGCAACTTCCGTGGTTGCGGTAACTCATGAGGATCGCTTGAGGTGGCTACGCTGCCACTGGGAGGCGCCTCTCCGCCAACTCAGCCATTCACCATTGGGAATGTGTACAGCACGTGTCAGCTTCCAATCACGTGGTAATGAAGCTTCAGGTCAACATGGTTGGAATAAGCAAAATAAAAGTAATGTCCCATAATTTTTTTTTCATTTCAAGAAGAAGTGCTTGTATTGGCAACGCAAGCGCTTTTATTACAGAAACTGTTGGACGCATCTAGGCGTCCCTCACCACCACTTAGACCTGTCAATTACTCAAGTGGGGAATAGCGTCTGCCTCACTGACGCACTACCCAGAGTTATGCGTCGGCTGCGTACAGACATGTATCACTCTCCTAGGGAAAGTCTCGCTACCTGTTCCGTGGAAGTCACCTCACCTACGAGTTCGTATTTTCCGTGTCGTCAGGATCATCATGACATATGGAGCCGCCACGAGCGACTTGCAGTAGCTGCCACGGCAGTCAATTTGGGCATCCTTGAGGTCAATGACACATGCAGTTGGTAACATTTAAGAACGGATGTCATTCTCCTCAAAAGTTGCAGGAATGTTATGATGCATGAGCAAAGGCACGCATGTGTATAATTTTCAGAGATCAGTTTTCAGAAACTTCGTAAGGGAGGGGGGATATAAAGTTTGTGAAAGCTAGAATTTGTACCCACCCATTTAAAGGGAAAAGCTCCCTTTTGTAGGACGAAACCATTACAGATTCTTAAAGAAAGGATTCTTATTTGCAAACGTTCCTTGGATTTGCACGAACATCCCAGAACCCTAGGTATACTTTACACTGGAACTCCCCTCCATATCTTCGCTCCTAGGCATATTGTGTTTTGTACATGTGAAACCCCGAAGGTGTTTTTCAATTGACATTAAGAGACCTCTTTAAAAATGCAGATAATTATTTGCTATCTACTTCAATAAAAACTAGAAATATCTATTGCCTACAATATTAACCCTTGGCTACTGTGTTGAATGCGTGCTTTCAGTATATGTCTTCTTATTTATCATACGTGAAAGTGCGCGAAATACAGTGGAGCACGTTTATGTTTGTGTGCACCATTTCAAATGTTTTCCAATGGAGGCGGAAATGTTGTAGGCCCGTGTACTCAGATTTGGGCGCACGTTAAAAAACCCCAGGTGGTCAAAATTTCCGGAGCCCCCCACTACGGCGTCTCTCATAATCAAATGGTGGTTTTGGGACGTTTAACCCCACAAATCAAATCAACCATTTCAAATGTTTTCTTATCGATCACCTTGATGACGTCCATAGCAAAAACGGTTGATACAAAAGCAATAATTCACTCATCACGAAGTCGTATGCTTCTGTTTCAAAGTAAGTGTATGCTGCGCTTCGCCAACAATCTCAAAAAGTGAGTGTAAGAAAGGTTTTTTTTTTTTTGTTACAAAGTATTTTCCACCTTTCTCAAAGACGCCATTTTTTCTCCTAATTTGGCCGCTTAATACCACTGATTAATGACTAGTTGACGTCTCATGCTCGTAATCACAGCACCGACTTTGAATCTGCCACCTGCACATGCACATTGCACACGCAAGGAATGATAAAAATAAAACGTATAAAATATTTTTAAAGTGTACATATTTCATCTTTTTCTGTGTTCATGTCTCGAATATTCCACGTTGCGCTGCCCCATGTAAAGGTACTTCAATGAAAAACGTACCTTGTCCAGACAGAACACATCATCTCAAACTCTTCTTAATACGCAAACAAAAGAGGGTGCTTTAATAGTGCCTGAAACTTCAGTTGGGTGGACTACAAGTTTATAGTTATACAACAAAAACAAATATTTTTTGAAGCTTTCGAGCCTTCAACTTCTTATTGTCTTTGAAAAACAATGGGTATTCATTCCAGGTGAGTTGATGTACACTACACGTCTGAATATAATTTAGAAGGTTTGAAGGGTATCAATTTCTTTCAAACTGCACTATGGAGGGCTCTTGGTATCATGCTGCGATTGCGGCCGCAACACTTTGCGTCTTAGGAGCAAATGGTCAAGAGGAAGGCAAGTCGTTTTTCATTCAATATGTTCTTGTATATAAGATTCGATATTGGAATACATAAGGATGCTTTCAGTGTCTCTGGAGGAAAAGTGATGAAAAAAATCAAAGCACTTGCGTTTCTGTAAGGCATGTAATATTCAAAGGCATTTCACCAACGTAGCTGCAAGAATGTGGCACAAATTGTAAAGCAAAATGCAGCAACATTGAAAAAAAAACTCACGTCTTATTATTGTAGGATTATCATAGTAGACAGTTGAAACAGTTCATTCCTATATGTTATGCCAAATGGAAAAACAGATGATGCTTCCAGTCTTATCAGAAGCATATCTTCAACAAACATCTTCGGTCTACACAACTTTCTCTCAGAAACATTATTTCTTGGTCGTCTTCGTGCTGCAGGTAACCGCACATTTTATATAATCCTGATTTGTACTTCGAACTCTGTTGGTACATAAGATGGACGTTTACGTAATTCTCTATTTTTACGATTCATATACTCCGACACTCTGCACCCGCTTACGATGGTAAGATGTATGTAAGCACAGGTAAACAGAAGGCTGCTTCTTGAGAAAGACAAGAAGACTGGTGAAAGAATCAATTCTGAAGATATGATTTTTATGTTGGCTTAGTACGAAACGTTTGTCTTCATCTACATTTGAGCAACTTGCTTGTTTCTATATGGCAGCTCCCCACTTCCACCAATGAAAAAGTAATCCAACCTGATGCCTTCGGATAATCCGACAAAATCTGTGCATTGTGTCATCTGATGCCGGCCTAAAAACCATGCCTTTTAATGTATATTCAACAGCCTATTTTCACACTCAAGAATATTGGCGCACTAGTAAATCACTGAATGCGTAAAAAAATAAAAAATAATTTCAATGTAACAGAAATTTGCGAACAAGGGGGGTCGCTGGAGCCATAACGTGGAAGAATTTGTTTGTCGGACCTCAACTGCAGTAGCATCTTGGGTTAACGAATTTCTTTTATCTTTTACATCTTCTATGTTCACCTTTTTTTCTTTTTCTTCGGAACTTCGCAGTACAGTATCACAAGAAAACGAAAGCGACGTATTTGTTATAGACAATCCCGATCGCCCACTACAGCAGATACTACACCAATGTTCATGTAATCCATGCAGTGGTGATGCTATGTCACTTGTTCATGGTGGACATAGCAAATGTTATGAAGCTATGTCATATGTTCCTGTGTTCGGTGCAGTCGCAGCTCGACGATGCGGATGTTTGGAAGTGCCTGTGAATGGTCCTCCAAGACGGGAGAACTTCTGCAGATGGAAAGTGACCCCAAGCTCTTTACTGTACAGAGATTGGCACTGCGTGTGCAGGCCCGGCATGGTTCGCAATGCATGGGGTGATTGCATCACCAAGCATGAGTGCAAGAGCTGCAAGTGCTTCTGGTACAAGGACTTCAACGTGTGCGGGCGTGAGTGCCCCTTGAAGTGTGGCGAGTCCGTACGAACAACATGCTCCCAAGATTGTGCCTTCGGCTGCGACTGCCCTCCGGGACGCATACGGTGAGCCAATGTTGCTTACATTGAACATGTGTTTGCGTGCTTAGTACTCACGTGAGATCTATTTAGTACTGAGGCTTTAGTTTTCAACATCGTGTATTGGAAAATGCTCACTCGAATTCTATCCACGTACGATAACAAGAACGTGTAAAAATTTTCGCAGCAGACATTTGTTATTTGGTCTAAGCATTACATAAAAAATGCAGAAAATTCCACGTATTAGATGTGTGGAAAACACAGTGTCGCAGAATATTACTGTTTGGCTTCCCTTGTTTACCCCGTTGTCGGCTGGTGTGTTTTATTCAAAAAAAGGGATAACAATAGGCGCAGTATAGGAAAATTCTTCTTAGAGAGTTCACAATCATGTAAACAATTTGTTGGCAATAGGTAGGACGTAAGCACTGGCCCTTCTTACCTCATTGTCTCTGCCCCTAGAATTTATAGTCTTTTTTGAGTAAAACATGTTTGCTTCACAGGAGACACGGTTGTTTCTTTTGTTCGGGCTATGGTTGTTACTCAGTTGGCTTCAGTAACAAAAAGACAATGCTTTCATCTTCCCGCATCACGCGTTCATTAAAGTTATGAACATCTCGTACTCACTGCAGGACATCAAGCAAGACGTACTGTGTCACTACCAGCCAGTGCACTCCTATATGCCCTGCGAATTCGAGGTACACGTCGTGCTTGTCCAATTGCGCGCCAAAGTGCGGCAAACGACAACCGCCAAACTGCGTCACGCGTTGCCGCAGAGGCGGCTGCGCCTGCAACGAGGGTTACGCCGAGGCGGACCAAGGTGGAGTCTTGATCTGCGTGCCCCTACAAGAGTGCTCTAAATACGCACCGACGGTGACGCCGTTCCCAACTACGGAAACAGGTGGCGTGGGCGGTCGCCCAGGTTGGGGCACTGGACCCACAGTTCCAGCACCAGTCCCTAGTGCTCCGGTTTCCCCACCAGGTGCAGAAGGAACAATTCCATCGGGTAGACCATCTCACGAGACCACTGGACACGGCAATGGTGGCGGAATTTCTGGAATGCCACCGGTGGTACAACCGCAAGCTACCCCTGCATCTCCACCAGGCGGACATGGGGGTAGTTCACCGGCACCGGCATTCCCACAAATCCCGCAAGGCACACCACCGCAAGTTACCACAACACACCAAACAGGAGGAGGAATGCCCTCCCAACCAAACCAACCTTCGCATGTTTCAACAGAATATCGGCCCTCTGTTGGTGCTGCCCCAGCATATACGACGAATATTTCCGGGGTTTCAACTGCAGTGGTGTCAGGTGGAAGTCAAGGATACGGCACACCGTGTGTTCCTCGAGGTCAACCGTGTAATACATACCGCTTTAGTGTCACTAGCCCGCGGCCGTGCCGGTTGTGTTAGCGTACCGCAGCCATTGCTTTCCTGTGTTATACATATGTTGGTGCATTACCTCTTTCAGAGAGTTCGAATAGATGTGCGCACAAATAAAACGTACGCCTGCAATGGCGTAATACCTGCTATTGCTTCATTAGGCTCTGGGACCCTGAGTATTCATGCCATGGCAAAGAGAATTCAAAAATAAAATTGCAACTATATATTCACTTGTGTGGTTGTCTGCAAGCATTGCATTCTTTCATCGTGCTTGAGAGTTGCGCTTATGGGCAGTATCTGGCTTGAAAGTGATGCCCTGGTTAAATATTGAAATTTCATGCAAGAGTAAACTCTGTTCATAAAAAGTCAAAAAGCCCACAGGGAAAAGGAATATTTTTCGTCCTGCGATTGCTATAGTATGTGACGTTCAAACTAAGGTAAGAGACATGACTCTAGAGTGAAAGAAAATGAATGGATCAAACCAAAGCATATTCGTCAACATGAGGTATGTGACCGTCACTGTTGAGCTACAGGTTCTTCTCCAGTGACGTTTATTTTTCATCATTTGATTTTTCTTGAGCAGAGTGAACATTAAAGAAAGATCAAGCTATTAAAAGACCTTCTACCTACCCTCAGCTTTTTGGGGTTTAACGTTCCAAAACCGTTATATGATTATGAGAGACGCCGTAGTGGAGGGCTCCGGAAATTTAGACCACCTGGGGTTCTTTAACGTACACCCAAATCTGAGCACACGGGCCTACAAAATTTCCGCCTCCATCGGAAATGCAGCCGCCGCAGCCGGGATTCGAACCCGCACCCTGTGGGTCAGCAGACGAGTACCTTAGCCACTAGACCACCGCGGCGGGGCCCTTCTACATACCCATCAGTCTTAACTTTTTCTAATGTATTTTGCTTTCTTCACTAAAGTACGTCTTTCGTTAATCTTCTTCATTATATCATAAAATACCCTTTTGTCTCGGGGTATTTACACCGGTAGTTCTAATGTCCTTTTCGATACAGTGCACAAAAACCCAGTATGTTATATTTTTCTACTACTCACGTGTTTTCATCACACGTATAAACAATGCTTCCTTCATTACGGTGTCTCATGAAACAAATAAAAAAAAGGCAAGAGGGGCCCAGTAAACTTTGAGTCTGCCGATCTATTTCCAGTATTTTTTTCTCGTGTTAAGCGTCCTCCCAAGTGAGGTTGAACTTCCTTTTGTGAAGTGGCAATCCCTGAACACGTTTGTATTTCTGGTATGTACCCTATCGGAGCAATTGTCTGCCTCCGAAAGCGTTCACGTGCGCTAAGCTGTTTCAAGCAGGCTGTAATAAGTCAAAGCGTGCCCAAAAACCTACATGATCTTGTGGGGCTGAGATTCGAGATGTGCATTCATAAACCACAGTGGACCTAGTGAGCGTATATCTTTTCATGGCACTGGTAATCAATCCTGGTGCTTTCTCTATATGGGTTCTGTACGATTTCACCTGCGCAGCGCCATATTTTTCCCTCAAAAGCACCATGTGAGAGAGAAGGAGGTAGTCTATATAAATAATTTTGTTGCAACTTCACACGTTCCGCACCATACATGGAGGAGTAGGCGCAAGTATGCTACGTGGTCTAAGAAGTAAGGCTCATGTGGGATAGGCAAGTAGGTGAGAAGTCCAACATGTGAATCTATAAAGTTCTTCCAAAGTATTAGTAGAATCATCAGGTTAATTTTGAGCGCCCCTGATGAGAGTAACGCAGCACTTTTTGCTGGTGAAAATCTGGCGCAGACGATTTTCCGCAGGGGCGAACGGGCGTGGCCGTGTCCAATCACGCGACCATAACAGGTTTCCGGCCAGCAAGTTGGTTGTCACCGTTGCAGCAGAATTTAAGCAATATAATCCTTGGAAAGTGCGACGTAGCTCAACGTTTTTGTGGCTTAATGTTGGCAATGTTGAGACATACTACTACGCTACAGCGATCAGCGCTACGCCACATACTACGCCATAGCGATAAGTGACACGCTAATTGATTGCAAAGCAGTTATTTGCGTACTGCTAGCTCTTGCATCCACGTATCCATCAATACATCTGGCCGCCTAGGTGTGGAAGCTTTTGCTGATTGATTGATTGATTGATTGATTAATATGCGGGGTTCAACGTCCCAAAGCCAGCATATGATTATGAGAGACGCCGTAGTAGAGGGCTCCAGAAATTTCTACCCCCTGGGGTTCTTTAACGTGCACCCAAACATGGGTGCTTTTGTGATCACCTCCTTCACCTGGGGTGGGCCAAAATTAACGGGAGATGGTAAGAGGGTTCGATAATGATGGCTGTTTGGTCATGTAATGAACAATGTAAAAATCCCGTCGCGTACGACGTCAAAATCTTTCTTCTAGACACGTGTGGCATTTAGCCATATAGCACGGGTTGTGGTATGTGGTTATGCGCCACAGGTGTTTGAAAGTATGTATCTACCGAGGAACGCTAAAAACAGGCGTTGGTGCCTTAAATGCGAGGGTAAAAAACCAGTGCTCACTTGACGAATGCAAAGAATATATGTTATAGTACCAGTAGGAATCAAGCCCCGCCACGGTGGTCTAGTGGCTAAGGTACTCGGCTGCTGACCCGCAGGTCGCGGGATCAAATCCCGGCTGTGGTGGCTGCATTTCCGATGGAGGCGGAAACGTTGTAGGCCTGTGTACTCAGATTTGGGTGCACGTTAAAGAACCCCAGGTGGTCCAAATTTCCGGAGCCCTCCACTACAGCGTCTCTCATAATCAAATAGTGCTTTTGGGACGTTAAACCCCACAAATCAATCAATCAAACCAGTAGGAATCAAACCCAAGCATGCTGCGTGACCGTCAAGTATTCAACAACAGAGCCAGGCTAGCAATCGTCCGGTTTCAGACATTATAAACATTACACTTGCCCTCCAATCATACAAGCTTTACAACTGGTTAACATCAATTGTACTTAAGGGCCATACATTGAAGTTTGTCGACGTTTCACTATCCACGGCTGCCATCCTCGCAAGCACCTGCCCTTTATTACAGCTCACCGCTTCTGGTGTTGATATTACCTATTGTGCTCTTGACATAGCTACGCAACTGCTAATAACTGGTTTTATAAAACATACATGTATTAGGTATAACATTTGTATATAGGTTTATCGTTATTTCGTAACCTTTTGCTAAACAAAAAAATACACGGCAATCACCTTCCCTACGCCTGCTTCCTGTGACATCGATTAACATGATACGTAACATCTGCCGAGTTTTCTCTACTTGATATTTGAGGTGTACGCCTTGAATTGCATTGGCAACCACAAATATAGCTTTGTTACTAGCCCGCAGGCAGCCCACAGGCAGACACTAACCACCCACTTCGATATGAACTCACGCTTTCTGTTTGCCCACTGCACCGCCACTAATAAATAATGGCAGAATCGGCTATCGCTGTGGAAAAAAGGGCTAAGGGTTTGTTGCTATTTATTATTTAAATCACTCGTATTTCTATCCACGCCTGTTTCACTTTTTCTCTGAAGATTTGGGAGTATATCTTGTAAGCCGTGCAGGATATGAACCAGTACATTCATCTCGAAGCTCTATACGACCTAATAACAAAGAAAATAAAAAGTATGCTCATTATTGGGCTAAACTGCGAGCTGAGACGTGGTGGGTGTAAAAAGGCAGATGCTGGGGGGGGGGGGGGGCATCTCATTTATGAAAATTGTTTGCAGAAAAGCCTCTGTACGTTCTTTTTTTACAGCACCCTGCTTCAACACATAGAGTTAATTAACACCTACAGCTAACCACGTGACTTGCGCTCTTTTTCTTTTTCTTTGCTACAAACTGCAAGTTATCTGGTCTTCACGCCTGAATTTTCATTCGGAAGCGGCTACGTGTTCGGCCAACAGACGCGTTCATTCGCTCGCATTAAGAGTGGGAGCAGCAATGTTACAATATGAGTCTGGGCGCCGAGCTGTATCTGGTGCAAAAAAAAAGTGACACATACAGTTTCACTGAGACAAGGATAGGAACAGCCACAAAAAACTTTTAAAGGCTGAAGCTTAGCCTCTGAGCATCCGCAAAGAAGGAAACTTTCTACAATTTGGCAGTAGGGTGAGTATATCGTGAGATAGTACCTTAGAAAATCTGCAATGAACCTGAATATATATTTTTATGCCGAAACACATGTGAAAAGTGGATGCGTCTCAGTACGAAGCAAAAACAAACATTTCAAATGTATCGATTATCGGTGCGTTAGTTTAGGAGCGAAAGTGTAGTAAAAATGCGCATTGGGACAATATTTGTACTATAATTCAATTTTATCAAGTTAGAGGGTGGCACGGGCTGATTCTTCAAGCCCAGGCGTGGACCAGCCTAAAAACACATTGCTCCGGCCCGCCCGAACTCAGTCTGATGTGTTTAGGTATTGCGCGTATGCGGCCCGGTTCTGGAACTTTTAGGTCGAGCCCGGCCCAGGCGGGCCCATTTAAGCCCGTTATGCATTGAGTATAAATGAAGCACTGTACGACCCTCAGTTACTGCGAGGATACTTGCCGAAGACAGCATATTTTCTGAAGTGTTTTCACAACTTTCAGTGTCGCGACTTTCACTGGCTACGCCTCTACGGCTTCTGCAAAGTAAGTACAGGACAATATAAATTTTAACTGAAGTCATGGTTGGCTTTCTCAAGTACGCTTTGCTAATCACGTAGTTTTATCTTTGCACTCCAAAGAACGACAGCAGTATATAATACCCCCTAAGAGAGAAAAAAAATATGTGAGGAAATACTAGTTCGAGTCTACATAAATCGCATGCTAGCTGGGGCTGTTGAGTAAAACTAATTTCGCTTGCAGGCTCGATTTATTGCACAAGGTAATAATAAAGAAAAAGCGCTTAGTGGCTTCTGGGAGCAATGCACCAGACTGGACGGCGCTACATCAATTAGAGCTGTTGTGTTGATTCCTCGGCAGGTAACTGTCCCCAACGTGAACAACATATGCACACTTAAAAAATGAAGGTTCTTTGGCCTACACATTTTCCCCGGATCACCAGCACCACAGGGTCATAGATCTGTGAAAGCGAACCACACCAGTTAGCTAGTGACCCACCGTCATCGCTCTTCTCTAACGATATCTATCTCGTCATCTTGTAACAGTCTTCAGTCTTTCAAAGTGTTATGTGTTAAACGAAGATCATACTAAGCCGTTCCAAAAGAACTCTATCTTATA